TGACAACTGCAGTCGCCCAACCAGAACATTCATGGCCCAAGCCGCACTCCAATTCTGGGCACTGCTTGCCTTGAAGTTGATGTGACCCCCAGTATCCCACTATAAACAATACCAGTTTTGGCCCAGGAAAAAAAATGCCAATTGGGGTGGTGCAAAATAGGTCACTTTCCTGTGGCTTTTTTTACAAATTGGCTGATCAGGAGTAAAAATTAGGCTAAAATGAGCTATTTTAGCCCCCCAAAAAAAATGTGTCAAATGAGCTAAATATTAATTTTGGAAGGTTTGAGGCATTTTTATTTTTTGGGGGCTAAAATATGAGCTCATTTGAGCCTGATTTTTACTCCTGAGTGATCATTTTATAAAAAAAGCCTGAGGAAATTGAGCTATTTTCCACCACCCCAATTGCCATTTTTTTCCTGGGCCAAAACCGGTATTGTTTGTAGTGTTGATCCATGGCCACATATCTGAAAAAAAATCCAGACTCAATACAGCAGGATCCATTGCACACCAGAGATCATGCTTCTGATAATCTTCACCGATATTGCTACCAACTGACTTCTTCAGAGAGGGCCACCAGGTCCCAGATGAGCACTTCCAGAGGTGTCTAAGGTAGACACAGATAGGTGGAAAGACAGTTTGGCTTTTGACCAAACATCTGAAAATTCCTACATTTTTTTTCTTCTAGTTTTTTTTGCTTCTCAAGTGTCACTGGTGCAGTTCCACCACTAATAAATACATTTACAGGATGCACAATTGGAACCTACACAACCCCACATCAAAATCATCTCAATTACATGTTTGGTCAAAAGCTAAACCATCTTTCTGTCCATCTGTGTCTACCTTAGATAGACACCTCTGGAAGTGCTCCTCTGGGTCCTGGGCCACCAGAAGTGCTCTGAGACTCTACAATAGGTCTCCATTTCTCCACAATGACCAAGCTCTTCATCCAGGGACCAGCTTCTCTCACATCCAAAATCCTGTATAGCTGGGATAGTGATGAAGGTACATGAACAAGCCCATTCGTGGGCCTTCCTTCCTGTCACCTGACCAAACAAACAAAAAATTAACCCTCTTTTTCAGGGGTCTGTCTGACTGCGAGTGAAACTGCTTCATGTAAAAGTAAATAAGCATTAAATTAAAGAGAAAGTATATTACAAATACTGGGTCAGGTGCAAGTGATTGACAGCTCCAAAAGGAGTCTTGAATAAACGTAGAGGCTGCACCACAGAAGAAAGATAAACAAATGTACAAGAAGAATGTGATGCAACACAAAGATTGTCTCAGTAGATTAGTTGGATGTGAGATCTCCTAGTTTGATAGCTTTCCTTTTCCAAAACTAGTCACTAGCCAGTCACTTAGAAAATATTTCAAGAGAAGAAGGAAATAACAGGAAAGGATTGCATTCCTCATTGTGATATATATATATATATATCAAAAAACTGTGCTATATCTCATCACTAGAAGATGAATTACTCTTGCGCCGACTTAGCTAGCACTCCTCAGCCAATCCGCTTGTACAGATTTTTACTACCCGGCTTAAAAGGCCCAAGCCCATCCAACTCTCCTAAGTGGATATCATAGCCTTATAATTGATATCCTCTCAATGTTCCAAAACCTCTTCATCACACTCTTGCAATGACTCTCACCACTTTGACTGTCCCCCTCCCTCTGTTCCCCTGCCTGTTATAACACTTCCTAGCTCTGAGTTTATATTGAGACTCGAGATTAGTCGTCCTGGCCTTGCGCTTCAGGATTCAGAAGTATGTGTAAGAATCATTGAGCATTCTCTGAGCCGTGCTTCACTATTATCTACAATTGAAACTAACCTCTCTGTGTCTTGTTTTCTTTTTTTTATATCTACAGTCATAACTATAGTCACTACCTTAGAGTTTGGTAAGTGACCCAAGTCTGACACACTTCCTCTTGAATGCTTGAAACACAAGTGAGTTTAAGTCTTCCAGTCTAGACAAGGTCAATAAGAAACCATCTCCCATCTGTTACAATACCAGTAACTAACCTTCTTGATATCCAGAATACTGCTCCCTGGGACCAGCTGAATAAGAAACCCCAAGGCTTGATTTGTGGAGCTTCTTAATCTACATCAGAGCCAGGATCAGCTTCATCATTGTCTTGTGGCTATCAAGAAAGCAAATCTGCCATGGTGAATGAGCTCCCGGGGTGGCGAACAAAATCAAACCAAGAAATGTTCCATAAAAGCCCTGGGTATAAGCTTGGCGGCGTGTCCAATCCATCCCTGCTCTGGCTCAAGCAGTCAAGATAGCTTTGTTTGATGGAAGAGGTTCTTCCGTGTGCAGAGAAAAAAAGTACAATCTTGTTCCTATCCACAATGTTCGAGAGCCTGTTATTCTATCCTGAGGGACGTACGATTCTTTGCAGGCTGTTGCGACTGGCAAGCTAGGTCAGATTCCAGAAACAACCCAGAAACCATACTTTCCCAACAGCAGTTGGCTGCGGCCGCTGACTCGAGTCGCACCCTCAGAGGTCCAAGCAACACAAAGTGATAAGAACATTGATGGGAGGGGATATTGGCCAGATGCACATGTGGCTTTTGTAATCTCTGACTGGAGATTTGACAATCTTATGTACCTTGCTTGAATGAAGAAGCCAATGCTACACCAAATTTACAGTTCATTACTTGATTCATACACATGATCTTTATAGACCGGACAAGTTCTTGGATTGCCTTCTCAAAACAAGGTGAATGATGAAACTCTTATCCAGTAGAACTCTGTGTTACTAACTTGATTCATGTTCAAAGTAAAAAAATAAGCAGCCTGCAAGTTCATCAAGTTCATACATGCAAGGGGATTTTGTTGATATGTAGGGTGACTGGTCTTCAACCTATCAAGACCATCATGAAATATGTTCGGATTCTTGCATCCAGCCCTCGTTTGCACTTCCCTTGACTAACGAAAAGAAAGTCAAAGAACGAGAAACCCAGATATAAGATACAAGTTAAGTTGAGGTCGACCTGATTTGAAAAGAATCTGACTATCTGAGGATCATGATCACATTGATTTATATATATACTTATGATTGAGTTCTTTGAATCCCCAGAGCGTAGATGTCACCCGCACATTTTTCCCCATTAAAGACGAGGAAATTGGCTAATGGGGCTTGTTTGCCACCCAGTGCATTCAATACTTCCTGTGACAGAATCGATCCAATAACCGCACAAGAGGGGATGAACTCGGCCCGAGAGGTTATTGCTAGCTGTCTAAGAGGTCAATTTCGGATAGATACCACGGTGTAAAGAATTAGATCAGCACAGTAAACTCATGAGCGCGACCGATCCATGATCTATCGACGTCGTCGTGCATACATGCTTACCTCAACAGGTCCTGTGGTAGAAGTGATTTATCGATTCCACGGGTTTCCAAAAGCTTGTCTGAGATGTTGATTAACTCTGAAGCATGCTCATCGCCTTCGGGATAGTTGATGTTATGACGTGACTGAAGTTCGAATAAGGCTGAAGAGCAAATACAACTAATCAGGACATCAAAGTCGATGGTCAAATTTGAATCCTATCGCACCTAGAGAAGCCCACAACAATGGCGAAACCTTTTTAACCCGCTTCGGTGTGACGTGATTTAGCTGGGCTTTCTGGACAACATCAAATGGTACAAATTGTTGGATTCGTTTTTCAGAGGTTTTCTTGATTTCACCGTTGTCCAACGTCTTTTCCCTTTCACTATTCTCAAATAAAAAAAGGAAAAAAGGAAATAAAAAGAAGATGAAGAAAACAGAATCAGATAGAGTCCTAGTATCACGAGGAAAGGGAAGCCGAACCTTATATACGCGTGATCGAGTAAATCCGCAAAAATGTAACCATGAATACCTAGACTGGCTGCAGCGAAAAAAGGTTTTTGAAAGCGTCTACAAATCGAGTTGACCTTTTCCTAAACAAAACAAAGATGATAAATATATGCTTTTATAATGAGTGTGGGGGGGGGGGCATGTAAGATAGTTGAGAGGCTTACTGACAATCACCGATGAGCTAGAGTCAGTTAGACAAACGATGTCAAAGCTTGCCAGAAAGCCATCTTCGTCGATTTTCGACTCAAGGTCGCACGTGAGTCCAATGACGTTGACTCGAGGGTTCAAACTGTTCACTCTTTTTTGAGCAACTTCCACACGCTACAAACATATACTTGGTCAAAAAAAGGAAGTATGTATGAGTAGCTTTGGGTGTGTACCTTTTGGCCAATGTCCTCCTCGCGAAAGAAAAACCCAGCGCCTAAATCTTCGGGCGATACGTCATTCGGGTCCAAAATGGTGATCGAGCCTACTCCAGCCAGGACGATATTCTTACAGGCTTCGGTAGAAATTCCCCTGAGATTGATCATCAGAACGGAGCTTCTTCGCATCCTTTGAGTATTGGAAAAAAAAAGATAAACATGCTGGAGCTTCAGTTTCACGATTGCATTACAGAATAGTAGACAATTCTTCCAGCAAGAATCAATTACCGATTTTGGGCCTCGACCCCCCAAAGCCTTATCTGTCGATCATAAAGAGCAGCTGTGTCCAAGCAATAAGCGACGACTCGTTCGATCAGCTCGATCGCACCAAATTCCAGGCTGCAGCATACCTTCTTCTTCATCAATCCCGTTCTTTTCGTTCAGTTCGGGTGCCTGAATTTGGGACATCGTTTCAGCCATCAGCGACCGGTGCGCTTCATTGCGAGCTGAATTGTGTTTGGACTGACCATCCTTCCAGCGCTGTATGTGTGCGGAGTGAGTTGGTTCGATGTGTTCTCCGTCAAGGGTTCCCCCGAACTTGACCAGCCGTCACTCGGGAGACGTGTCTCGTGGTGCGAGAAGTTGGCACTTGGATGCGCATGTGCCATGCATACTCATTTTGCATAGTGCACCACTCGGAGTTGCCAGCTGTCCAGATGGGACCCAGGAAACCCCCTGTATAGGTGGGTAACCAAAAATCCTGGATTTTGCAAAAAATTCATACATTTTTGGAAGCCATTCATACCATTTTCGTGTGTATGCTGAGAGGAAAATCCACCAGAGAGTGAGAAAATTGCCCCCAAAAATTCGGGGATGTGTCAGCTAGGCAGGCTTTCCTCAAGATTGAGCCAAATTCATACATTTTGAACCATTCTTGTGTGTACCATGTCAGGTTTTTGAGTGGATTCATACCACTTTTGTGCATATGATTTTGGGATTTTCCCCAAAAATTCATACATTTTGGTTATCCACCTCTAGAGGGACTTTCCTGGGTCCTGTCTAGATACCACTCAAGTCTTGTGAGTTTCTGTCATCCATTAGACAGGATGGCCGAGTGGTTAAGGCCTTTTGGACCCGATTTGCTTTGGTAAGTGGTTACACTGAATGTTCCATCGATCTGACCGGTGAGCCGGCGGCCTGTGCATCAAGGACTGCCTCCCAAGGTGAAAAACCGCCAAGTCCCCGTTCCCCCCCTCTTCATCATCTCCACCTGAGCCCATTGCTCATTCCCCCCCCCCCCCAGCATAAGGCCCCAGGGGGGTTGCTCATTCCCCCCCTGGGGGATACCCCCCCAGCGGGGTTGGCTCATCCCCTAAGCCAGCGGGGTTGGCTCATCCCCTAAGGGATGCTTGCCTCCTCAACCACTCGGCCTTCGGTTTTCCCTCCCCTCATAACGACTTATCTCAATCGATCCTGTTCCTCAATGTTTTCCTGTTCTCTTCTACTCTCTTGATGCACTGCACATGTACATAGAAATCCAAAAAAAAAAAACCCGTGAAAAAGACTTAAAATGCAATCAAAACAACACCAAAAAAGGCCTGGTGCCCTGGAAAACCCGATCAAGAGTGACCTGTGATTGCCTGAGCGGGCGTTGGCGGGGACGTTGTCTCAATTCGGTTGTCAATTTGTCGGCTGACCGGAGGCCCGTTTTCTGCTGGTCAAAGGTAGCTGGGCGGTGTCCGTTCAAATTGACGGCCGAATGTTCAGCAATTTGACCGCGGCCCGCAACCGCCGTGTAGAGATACATATACATATTTTCAAGAGCCCGGGGAACTACCTTTCCTCGGGAAATGGGAGAATGGCAGAAGCAAGAACAAATCAAAACACAACTTCATGAAGGAAGGCGAAAAGCCAGTTGAACAAAAAGTACCCAGTCGAAACACATCAGAGAAATCAGCCGAAGCATCCTGCTCTCGACCTCGACATCAAGTCCTCGTTAGACATGGAGGTTGTTTCGCCATTCTAGGGCCTCGGCTCAGGACTTCTTGCTGGCTGAAAATCCATCGAAACTGTGTGTAATGCTGACGTTTGCGCACTGGGCAAGGTTTGAGTTTCCGACCAAATTCACGCTTTGTGGACCTGACCCGGGCATCCCAGGCACTGTGTCGAATCGCCTGGCCTACACCTCTTTCGTCGCCTGGTGTGTACATTTTCAGTGCGAACTATCACATCCACCCCGACGATCACAACTGGCTAACTTTTGTTTCGTCGGATGAGAAATCGCTAGACCTCTAGTTCGCCGGGTTACCCATTCCGATTCCACATACACGTCTGTCACTAGGTACCATCGACTCCGAGGCTAGAGTTTGGAAGTTTTCACTGCGTCTGGTTCAGCTATGCGCGGAGCTATCGATGGGAAACCGGTCCCCGTAAGTTCACACTCATCTTCCAGCACAGTTTCCTGAGAAATTGAGTCCGTTTTTTTTTTCTTCTTCTTTTCAATAGGACCCAAGTGTCAACCAACCCTTGATAGACGCACCTCCATCTTTGTCAACGAAAAAGCCCGCCATCCCAACGTGTGGTCTGGATGTTTCATCCTGGAATGTTGGAATACAGAGTAAGCCTCACAGGCCCAACAAACTCAAAGCCTTCAACTCTCCGTTGATCCTTGTTTCATCCACGAACCATTTGAATCACGTAGACCAAACTCACGAAGGGAAAGGCATTCCACCAAACATGTCGAGCCCATCAATCCATCGCGGGGAGACTAGCTCTCAGGTGGTAAGTTAATTGAACCAATGTCAAGTTACAAAAACCTACCTGAACCCAATCCGTAGATGGCCTAGAACCCAACTGAATGCAATTTTTTCTGGTTCTCAGGATTTTGATGTGCTCTCTGAAAGAAATGAACCGGATTCACATGCCAGGGAGCTCACGCAGGAACAATCCCAACATGCAACCCTTATAAACACCTCTCATTCAAAGGGAATGCCGAATCCGTGGAAAAGTAATGTGCGTTGCTCAGAATATGTGTGCAAACAATATTGCTCTGTTATAACATTGGGTTCTCACACATTAAGTTATGCTGAAATATTTATGTCTTCACTCTCATTTGACTCCCATCTTGAAGATCACTGAAGAAGCACCACGATCAACCCAGCAGGCGGAGATTAATAAACTGGTATGCCAAAGGGGTACAATTTCCCCTGCCTCAAACATTCCATACCCTAGAGCTGCTTACAATAATGTTTATTGCCTTGTTACCCTGTTTTTAACACTGTTGCAACCTTACCTCCACCCAAGGTAACACCTAGACCTAGGGTAAGTGATTTGAAACCCTTTCAATATCCTAGTTGTTATTATTTTACAGTGTCACTAACTGCTGCTATCTGCAAAGCCTGCATCTCCTGATTGGTCCCAGCTACCCTCTAACCGACAACCATTACAAGGCTGGGAAAGACCAGATGAATTTGAAACTGAACTGCAGAGAACATGGATACTTACGCGCAATCCAGATCTTACCACCCCACTTGGCCATCTTATCTTTAGTGAGGAGATCAACAATAAACAAATGTGGGAAAATCCAGAGATCCCACGCATTGAGGTTTTTGTGCCTGATGAGGTGAAAGTGCAAATGATTCAAAATTCAGTTGAGTGGCTTTAACATTATCTACTACTGTTTTAGACAACTCACCATGTGGATCTGCACAAAGCAAACAACTGATTTAGAAGAAGAAGGCAAATCGACATTCAACGATCAATCCCTGGCACCACCACTTGAATTTGTATACACTGAACGGTGAGTAATGATTGGTCTTGTGTGAACAAATGATTTTGCCAACTTTTCTCCATGCTCACACCATTCCTTTATCCAATTTAAAATAGGGTGGTCTACCGAAACATTGAGCCGCCAACTCCCCCCACTTGGCAATGCCAGTGTGAGGGGGACTGTTTAGACAATCCGGAGTGCGAGTGTCGCATCTATCAGTCAAAGATGGTCAGACAAGCTGCCAAGCCACTTGATGTCAGCCTGGATCCAAGGGTGCAAGAGTTTGAAGGCTTTGCCTATGTCTCCAAGCGCAAACCACGACATTCTCACTCCAAGAAACCCAAAAATGGAGATCTTGAGGCCAGGTCGATGGCCAAATTGTTCCTGGAATATTCATTCCCAGTATTTGAGTGTAACTCCAAAGTAAGTAAATAGTTTTTAGTTGGCCCCAATTTCTTTTAGCAACTGACCATGACTGTGATATGTTATGTAGTGTGGGTGTAGCCGGAATTGTGTCAATAGGGTAACTTTTCTCTATTTAGTGAGATTGCAACAGTGTTTGGACACAATTCTAATCCTATTTGAATGTTTTAGACTGTTGGCAGGGGCCGTCGAGAGCAATTGTCCATTCAGAAGACACTTTCCCGTGGTTGGGGTTAGTTAGGTCACTTGATCCCAGAGGACCAAAAACAGCAGCTGATCAGATTTATGAATACTCCTTATAGGTGTTTTTGCTGACCATCCAATTCCCACTGGACAATTTGTTACACATTACAGGTGAGTTCTCTTTTTTCCTTAGTTGATTGAATCCAAATGTGTCTGGTAAACTCCTGGGTAGCACTGATCAAGATGGGACATCAACAGTGGTGAGCTGATAACCAATGCAATGGCTCATGCTCGTGGGGATAGTAAGTATGATCAAATTGGCAGAACTTACCTGTTTGCCCTTGATCCATGGTGGATTCAGTCTATTAATAAAATCAGTCTTGCGAGTGATGGGCTAGCTGTGCCCTATGAAAGCAAGAAATCCTTAGAAGCACACAAGAGCCTCACAAGTGGTAGTAATCTTCAGAACGTCACTGGACCTCTTGATGATTCCTCATCAAGAGCCAAGAAGGAAGAAAGCAAATCACCCCAACCAAAGGAGACTGAAATTGAGTCTAGTTATAGTGTTGATGCGTTTTGTAAGTGTTCCATCTGAGTCATCCCCCTCCACATACATATCTTCTGATGTCCTGGCTCCTTCCCACTTTTATCCCTCCAGTGTATGGTAACATTTCTCGGTTCATCAATCATTCCTGTAGCGCCAACACGGTTATTGTTCCTGTTTATATTGAGGATGTAAGCTCCCAGCTAATTGCTCACTTTATTCTTGCTGTACGTCCCAAAATGCTGACCTGGTTACAATTTTTCTGACTTTCTCCTTGCAATCCAATATTGGATGGCTTGCTACTGCTGTTTCAGAGTGACCCTACTCGACCGTAAGTTTTTTTTGTGCTTTTCATAAAGGATTGATTGACTGACATATGGACCACTTTTGAACAATAATGGCATGATGATCCAACATAGGATATTTGCCATGTTTGCAAAGAAACAAATCAAAACAGGCACAGAAATTACAACTTCTTATTCAGCTCCAAACGATGAGGAAGACGAGAAATTGGAGATGGATCAAGAGAATACTGAAAACCTTGCTCGAGATATGCCGTGCAAATGTAATGCACCTAATTGCAGAGGTGTAATGTTTGCTTAGCTCAGGAAAATCCGGTCAAAGTCCTCCCCCATCTGAACTATACTCTAGCTCTCCCAAACTTCAATCAAAAAAGGCCTCTTATCAGAATTAGGAGCTTGTGTTAAGAAAGCCCTATTGTTGCCTGTCTTCTTCCTCGCCTTACCTTTTAATTTGCACTAGATTCTTTTCTATCTGATTTGTTGACTTCTCTGGGCACAATGATGACATATGTAACCAAATGAATCAAGTCTTGTACCCTATTACTTCCGAACAAGTATCATGCAGACCTAGATCAAAGGTTCCAATAGTATGTTACTGGGGCTTTTTCAAATTATGAGGTGAATGCAAGTCATGCTGGTTTTGCCAATCAAAGGGTTCCTATCTCTATGAATAATTGAGCTGTCAGCCCCTTTGAATGGAGGACTTCCTGTTTGCTATATTTGTAAGTTTACAAGGGAGAGGGCTAGTGCTCATTGGTTGGTGAAACAAGCTTAACACAAGTCCTCCCTGGTCAGAGGTTTGTTGAAATTTTGCCTCTTTTCTTCTCATCCCAAAAAAAAAACCATCTATCACATCTTTAAAATTAATCATGTTTAGATAAATAATACAAGTGATTTTTCCCTGTTTTTGTTGGTCTTAGCATGGTATCTTTTTTCTAGTTGTCTAGTTCTGAAATCCTACCTGGTCTTTGAACCCTGGTCTAGTCTTTATCAATAGTCAT